GCCGGGGGGCACCGCCACCCAGCCACGAGCATGGGCTGCTCACCCGCACCGCAGGGCCTGGCTGCGGCGGCTTGTGTTGCAGGTCCCTTCTGGGTGGCTGTCAGGGCAGATACTCCTTGCCCCGGCTTTGTGAGCTTTTGCCTTGGTCAGTCAGAAATCATCTGGGTGCTTTGGATCTTTTATTGCAAGATGGGAGCAAAAGACCTAAGCATCTCCTCGTGTGGTTCTTTTTCCTGTACTGAAGGTATAGCAATGCCACTTGTTATTGTCATGTGTGCCCCAGAAGGAAAACATCTTCACTCTTCATGGCTGTGGGCCAGTGTAGTGCTGGGATATTTGGTAGCATAAACTTACAGCCCAGCTGCAGGTGCTACTGTGTTAAGGATGTTTGTCCCTTTGTGCCTACTACTACCGATATCTCGGCTTTACTAGGTTAACTGTTCCTTAAGTGAGTCTACCGAAATTATCTATTTGCTAAAAACTTCTAAACAAAAATTTAAAAAAACCCCACCCCAAACAGTTTAGCTTAAGATATATATTGTTGGTACAGACCTGGGATGACTAATAACTGTAAAAGCAGTTATACAAGCAAAGCTCAGGACATGCTGACCTTAAGCACGAGTTAAGAGTGAGTCTTTAGCAGTGCCTGGGAGCAGGGACTTGTGAACAGTCAGTCAGTCCAGGCATGGGATAAGCTCCCAGTCGCCTGGAAGTAATGAACTTAGTTGTGGAAAAATACTTCTTATTAATGCTGTGAAGTTTCAATTATTACAGGTATTTCCAAAATCTGGCTTATTATAGTAAAGGTAAAAGGAATTTAAATAGAATGAATTAAAAAAAATAATTCATGTTTAATGGGCTTAAAAGTGAACAGCACAGACTGCAGACTCAAGAAGCAATTATACGTTGCTGAGTAAATAGCATGAAGGTTCTTGTTATATGTCTTGATTGGAGAAATATTGATTCTTTGAGATTAGTTCTGGTAATTAGACCAGTTTGCTTGTTTGTTTATTCTAAATGAAGCTAGCCTGGTTTGCTAGACTCATTGTCTGTAAATGTGTTCTATATTAACACATTGCATTGAACTGCAGGCACTCTTTGATATCCTTGAATATCTGATCGGTTTTTTTGGCATATAATTGCAGATGAGCTAAGGGTTATTCTGGCAGATAAAAAAGAATCATAAGAGCATAAATGCTGCTTCTCAAACCATT